CTGCGAAGAAGTACGACGTGGGCATTGTCAGTTAGGGGTAATCGGCTCGGACCAAAACATTGCAGGTGTCCCTGAAATTGTCAGATGTCTGGCCAATATTATCTAACATGCTAACAGCTGCTGAGTTGCGTGTATTCGTGACGATCATCAAGGTTGCCTAGTGAGACCACGACCACAGCACGATCCGAAATAAAATTGCCTGGTACTGTTGGGAATGCCTTTATTACCACGATGAGTCATCGCACAGAAAGGCGCCTGCGGGAGCTGCCACGCTGTCTGTCATAACAGCGCCGTCTCTTGACTGCTCTCGTCAGATCTCGTTGGTCCATGTCTTGAATGAATGAAAAGGTTCGCGTTCCAGGTATTTGCATAGACAAGGAAGAAGACGTTTCGAGCACCGGATCAATTAGTTTATGGTCCTGAAATTTCGAACTTTTACAGGTCCATGTCTGTCCAGGTCTGTCCTCAATACGCCGGACAAGCCGTGTTCACCGAAGAACGCAGCCCATACAGGCCAGTCCACGCTATAAGCGGTACTGACCTACCTGAAGGGATGTGTTAGGAATGCGTCTATTCCCACGATGAGTCATCGCAAAGAAAGGCCGCTGGGCGAGTACTATGCTGCTGCCATGAAAACGCGCACCTGGACCGTGGCTGTCAGTTTCTCATCAGCTCTGATAAGTCCATGATGCCGACACTTTCTCATCAAGTGGATCAATAAATATACGCGACCCTTTTGTGAGAGTGACTTGCTATTTGCGAATACAGTTTTCCTCCTGGTCAATTGCGTTTTCTTCCTCTCCTGTGATGGTCTTCGAAACAACAGTCGGACAAAATCACCACTCGTGTTAATTACTAGTACCCGGCGCGTGTCATAACAGACATCAGCTGAGTCATTGAGGTTGCCAAGAAGCGACTGATATATTTTCTAAAGATCAACCAGCCCATAATGACTGCAGTAATTAGGATAAAGTGGCAGCTGTAGCGGAACATTCACAATAATGCAGGGCCTCCGTTTACTGGCGGCTTTATCACTCCTGTGTCTCTGTAGCACTAAGTGACATCTACGTATTTGGATCAGGATCTCGTGTACAGCCTTATTAGTAACTTCAGACGGCGAGTCTTTTCTTTCTTTAACCCTAATGGCTCTATATGCCGCCCTGTGGTCTCTACAGATTTTTATCAGTCTTTATCGCACGTTTTCCTTCTTTTGGCTGTCCAGGTTCTGGTTAATGTCTTTGCTGACGAGGACTTGGTGTCCTCTACCCTGCCGACGGAACCTATTGACCTCAGCGACTTTTCGGACAAGGGAGACGAAGCACTACCCGCTCTGGTTACGCGAACCCTCACAAATGCCACTGGATTCTTCAAAGTCGGACCCGTCTACTTCCAGGAGGCTGGCCGCTCAGCCTCACCCTCCTCCCTTCTCACCGTGCGTCTCCAGAAGCCTGGCTACGAATTCTCCCTCAAAACCCTCGCCGCTGATCAGACTGATTCCAGGGGTCATTTATGGACCTTCACTGCCCGCAAGTTGGCCCTTGTTGAGCTCAAACTCGCCGACGAGGCCGGCCAACCGCTGCAGAGTAAGTCGTTGAGGCGCACACTGCAAGTGGTCTGCTGGATGTTTTACAGTTATTAGATCTACTTTCAGTTTATTTGGTGAGGGTAAAAGGTAATGTCCTTGAAAACCCTATTGTTTAAATGCTGGTGCGTCTTATACATTGGTACACACACGCCCAAGAAGTTTCACTTTTAAAATAGTATTAACAAACTGTGAGTAGCATTGTTTTTACAAATACTGTTGAGTGCAGTTTGTGGGGTATTAGCTCACAGGGACACATAATTATCCAAGTCTTTTTTGAAAAGCTGTAGGGCGCTCGCTTCCACAACTGATTATGGTACATGGGAGGTTTATCCTCTCGGACTAAAATTAAAATATCCCTTTTCACGGTCCTAGCTCACAGTTTAATAGCAGTTGCTTGTGTAGCCAACGTTTACTGATCAGAGGAAAGGGTAGCTACCGGTAGCACATACGTGGCTATCTCACTAAACCCTACAGTACCCTGTGCGTCGAATGAAAGACGGAATTTATATTAGACTGAATAAGAGCAGCACGATGCAAGGCCAAAGGAGCCCTTATTCAAAAACCCACTGATTCACAACGGAAGCAAGCGCATTTGCATAAAAGTGTGACACCTGCGGTTACAACCCCTTATGCTTGCTTTCGGCCTCCGTGCTCCTTCAAGGAGGGCCTCTGCTCTTCAAGGCTTAGTGTCTGCGTTGAATAGTCGACAGCAAATTCAAGCCTTTGGTCAGCCATTAAAAAGTAGGTTGTACGATACAAGTATTGAAGCGAACAGAAAGAGTTTAAAATGGCAGTAAATGGCGGGGTTGCCCATGTTGTCATAACCTTTCGTGCACTCACTGCCTATTGCCATTTGTTGAATTTTTTTATGCGTCTTTCCCTTATGGTTGGGCTACATTCCCGGGTATGTC